GGGGGGACACCTGACGGTCCTGGGGGCACCGGGAGCACCCGTGGGGACCAGCCCCGCCGGGGGGACTGGCCTGCCGGGCTCCGTGCAGCGCGTGCAGCACAGCCACATCTCCCCAGAGCTGCGGGGTTCACCTGGCTCTTCCCCCCACAGTCCCTGATGGATGCGCAGAACTTGCGAATCGAGGAGCTCTTGCAGAAGATCAAGCAGCAGCAGTACAAGCTGGACAAGCAGAATCTGCAGATTAAAAGCCTGCAGAGCAAGGTGAGCTGCTGTCCCGCTCTGCGGCTGGGGGGCCGCAGCCTGGTTCTGCATGCTGTGGGGACCCCCGTGTGAGCTGCCCTGGCAGCCAAGCTGGCACCGCGCTCTGGTGACAGGAGAACTGGCTGTGCCGCTGCTCCCTGGCTTTGGGGACCCTGCAAAGGCAGTGGCCCTGGTCCTTGTGCTGCAGCATTGGTGCAAGGGTAGCAAACTGCAAGCTTGCCGAGCATTTGCACAGAGCAATAGGAGGAATTGGCGTGTGGGAGCAGAGCCTCTTGGGGCTCTTCCTTTGAGTTTATCTGCAGAACAAACTCGTTAGCATGGGTGTGAAAAACCACAATAATTTCTGGCTTTGTCAGCCTCGGGTGTCTCCTATTCCTCAAGATTTCTAGGCAAGTTCAGCCCCAGCTCTGGTCACCGGGGAGCAGCTGGTGCCTTGGCTGATCAGCTCCCCTGAGTACCAGCACTGAAAATGAGCTGAGAGAAAAATCATTCTGACTTGTGCCTTTTTTTAGGTCAATCTACTGATCCCCTTGCACCTGAAGGACAACAAAACACAGTCTCCAAAGTGGAAGATGAACCTGAAGAAGAGCCTCAGCCTCACCAACCAGAGCCAGAATGCTAGCGGGGAGCCCATGCTGACACAGAGTGAGTATCTGCCTGTGCTGTTCCACGCCAGAGCAAACCTGCAGCAGTTGCAACCATTGGGAAACAAAAGGTTCAGTTGTCCTGAGTCAGGATGTGAGATTTGCTTGCAAAACCAGAGCTTGGGAGTTTGGCCAGACTGGGGGGATCTGGAGCATGGGCAGGATCCTAGCCTTCTGGATCAGTATTAGTCCAGCAGGACTTTAGGGATTTAAGAGGAATTTTTCTGCCTGATATTAAGAATGCAATGGGGAGTGGAGAAATGCTGCTAGCAGGTATTTGTCAAAGAGGGTTGGCAGGTGGGGGGTTGAATGCAAGCAGGAAAGGAGGATCTCTGCTCCTTGGATTTAACTCTTGTTCACCTGCTCTCACTTCACCAGGCAGGGTCTGCTTCTCAGTCTGCCTGCTGGTGGAGGGGAGAGTTAGGGAGCCCTGGACCGTGAGAAGAGAGCTAGATCATTGTAAGTTTGTCTCCCTTGGCTCATATGGTCATGCATAAAAGACAAGTGCCTCGGCTCACACTATCCTTAGCGGAAGGTGCTGAGCTGCAGCAAACACCCGGGCAGTGAAGGCACCAGACACTCACAGCAATGGGAAATGTGTACCAGAGTGGATGCTGCATCCGGAACTCCTGGCTCTGCCTGGAGCATCCTCTCTGCCAGCGAGGGGGCTGGAGGAGCTCCCACAGAGCGAAGGGCAGCAGAGTGGGTGTCCCCAGCTGCACTGCATCCTGCAGCCTCCCTCCTGGACAGGAACTGGTGTCCCCACAGGGTTTGCTGGCCAGGAGCAGCTGCTCTCATGTTATGTCAGCTAAATCATGGTGCTGGCTCCGTCTGTGCAGCTGTCTGGCAATGTCCAGCATGAGCCAAACAGAAACCAGGCAGGGTGAGGATGCATGGGGAAATCCTGCCCAGGGCTTAAAGCAGGGATAGCTATGGGAAAACACATGGTAATCTGCATGTGGAGCCTGGAGCTGTCACTGGTGTGCCTGAAAACTGGGTGGGCAGAACAAAGAGCTGCAGAATCCATGTGGACAAGGAGATGGGACGTGGGGCTCCAAACTCTTCCTGGTGCTTGGCTTGGTGGGGCTAGCCAGCCCACAGCTGGGGCTATGTGTGGCCTCCCTTGGCTAGAGCAGCACTAGCAAGCCAGAAAACTGTCTCAAAACCTCTTTTCCCCCCACTTTTTCCCAGCTCTGCTTCATGACTTGCCCTCCGTAGTGAATCTTGGAATTGTTTGGGTTGGAAGGGACCTTTAAAGGTCATCTAGTCCAACTAGTCCAGCCACCCTGCTCCGCTTTCCGGTTATGCTGAAAGTGGGGTGCAGGGAGATGGGTTTGGGTTTTTGGTGCTTACTGGTTGGCAGATGTAGGCTGTGCTGTCTGCTCTGCACCGGCTGATGCGTGCTGGGTACAACAACCCTTGTGAAGCATGGCGGGAGGCCGTGAGGGCCCACAGCTGTGAGGCGGGGGGTGCAGGAGCTCAGCACCTTCTTGTGCTGCGTTCTCCCTGATGGGGAGACCCTGGGCATACTGGCTCCCTCCCACCCAGCTCAGCTGTGAGCTCCCCCTTCTCTTGCCTAATCCCTGATGTTGATATCACTGACAGAAAACAAATTGGCTTCCTCTCATTAGCAAGTCTTCTGGCACATCTTAAAGCACACAATATCTGGCGGGCCAGCCCCATGCCCTCTGCGTGGGGAGGCTTGTGGCTGCTTTTAGAGCAGGCAAGTGTCGAAGTCTTGTGCCGGCGGCTCCCTGTCTATTGTCAGACAGAGCTGCAGTGCCGGCATGGCCCCGGGGAACAGCGATGAACTCCACCAGCAGCCCTTTCAGAAAGACCCTTTTATTTGCATCCAGTGAACACAAGTTTTTTCAGGCCAGAGATGGCACAGGGCCAAGCATGTGAAAGTTGAAGGCTTGAAGCAGCCTGGAGAGTGAAAGGTTTAATCGCTAGCAGAAAGAGGATCACGTCTTTAGGCAGAGCCTGAGCTCTCTGGCAGCCAGCCGAGTAGGGGAAAGGTAGAGCCCTGCTCACGCTCTCCCTGCAGCGCTGGGACTCCAAAATAATTGGGTTGGGCTGGGGAGGGTGAGGGGGAGGCGATGCAAACAGCTCCAGGCATGCCCTGCCATCTGCAAGAAAGGGTGTTTATCCCAGGTTGGTGACCTCCTGTCATGCCTGGAGATCCTGTTGGGTAAACACCGTGCCATGCCTGGGGCAGCTCCAGCCAGCCTTGTTGATTCTTTCGTCTTGTTTAGCTAAATAAAGTGGGAGGGAAAGAAAAACATCCAGAGCAGCCAGGAGGTCTTGTTGTTCTGCTGGTGCCATACGGATGTGCAACATGAACTGGAACTAACGAGTGTGTTCCTCAAACAAAAAGATTGAGATGAGGCTGTTCAAGCAGCTGCATCTCATTCAGCTGCTTGAAAGTCCCTGTTGCACAAGGAAAACAGAAGAGATCTGAATGCAGTTAGTGTGGCCAGGGCCCAGAAAAAAGAAAAAACAGACAGGGATGGGGTTGACTTCTGCACACTGAGGGCACTGAGCATCCGCCCGGGCACTGTCCTGCTGATGCTGGGAGATACGGTGGGTGAGGAGGAGGGGAGCTCTGCGGGGCTGGGCGAGCCCAGCAGCCTCTGGCACCTCTGCCGTGCTTGTCAGCCAGGGTTGCTGCAGCTGTGGGGTCAGGTTGTGGGTTTTCCTTCCCCTGAGCCTTCTTTGACTTCCCTGGCTGCCTTCACCTAGAAAGTGGGGATGTTGGGGTTGCACTTGGCCTCCCCGCAGCGCTGGGTGGCTTTGTGTGTTTTTGATCCTTTGTGCAAAATGCTCACCCTCAATCCACGTGCACACAGGCTTGGGGCCACAGGCTTGTCCCATGAGTGCACTGCTGGGCTTGGTGGCACCAGTCCTGCGCTGGCATCGGCCCGGGGGTGCGAGGTGTTAACAGCGGTGCGAGTCCAGCCAAGCTGGCTGTGGGGCTGTCCCAGTGGGAGAGGGGCTGCCTGTGCCAAGGAGGGGAAAGTTCACTGGGGGGGTCAGGGTGGGGGGAATGGGTGAAAGGTGGTGGCAGGTGTCATCTTGCTGTCCCCTGGGCCCCCCTGGACCTTTCCCTCAGCTGTGGCTCC